GTATAGCACTGTATAATAGGGGCACTTTTATTCTATGCCATAGGTATGTAATTGTCCTAATAATCTTTTGGGGGGAAAAATGCTAAAGATATTTCCTTTGCGAGAGTTTGCGAATGGAAACCAGAACATTTCATTTCTATAAATGACTTCCCACTCTAGGGCCAAACCTCAAAGCAAACTCAGTCCTCCTGCAGCTGTGGGATTGAGAGCCCTTGCTGAGAATGGGAGTCTAAATGTGTGCATTTTGACCTCTGCCTTTCTTGTCATCCCCTTAAGATGGCTCTGTCTTAGTAGAAATGATTACTCTTCTGAGTACATGTTGGCTTTTTAGCTACCACGTTGGAGAGCGGTTGGTTTGCCCAAATGCTAAATGTGTTAACTACTGTCTTCCTTACTAAGTACTATAAACAACTCATAAAGTGAAAGGGGTTCTTCCAGAGGGATCAGTGTCACCCGCAATGTAAAGATGGGGCCCCCACAACTTGAGGCTGTTTGGCCCACCTCCTTCCACTCACTGCCCACCTGCAACCTCCTTCTCTGCAGTGATGGTTTTCTGATCGCCACCTAGACTCAGCCCCAGTCTTGAGTTTGTCTAGCTGCCCCTGAAAAGGAAAAGAAGGCCTTGACATCCAGCTTTCTGCAGTTACTCAAAAGTCAACAGTGCCAGCTCATCTTCTGGGACGTTCTAAAGCCTGAAGGCACCTGTTTCTAACTTACCCAGCTATGCTTTGTCAGAGACTGTCCCCTAGCTTGCCTCTGGCCAGGGATGCAGGCTCCGCTGTGGTTACTGTCGGCTTTAAAAAAATTTTTTTACTTAAAAAATTTTGGGGGCCTTACTGAGGTATAATTGACAAATATAAGACTCTCTAAGATATGTCACGTGTACAACGTGATGATTTGACTTTTCATCTGCTTTTTACTGTCTGTTTGCTTTTGTGTCTCACTCCAGACAAGCACTTTTTGGAGATCATGTAAAGAAACCCCAGAGCCTGGAGGACTCGGACCTGAGCCGCCTCTACACGGCCACGTCCCTGATGCAGATTGATGACAACGTAATGAGGTGTGTCCACTGGGAAC